GCGGATGGGGATACTCGAGTTTGTTTCACGGCAAATAAACACGGAATAGAAAGGAGAAGAAAACGAGACGTCGGCATATTCTGACGATGACAGCGAGAAAGGTTGGCGATGGTCATTTTTATGAAGCTCTCACGGACTACAGAGACATAGACGCAAAGGAAAATGAAAAGAGAGCCAATTTTCTGCTCCTCCTCGGATGCTGCAGCTGTCGTGCTCGAACCTTTCAGGTACAAGTAAATGTTCTTACTACTGATCCTGGCTGGACGAAACTGATGAATAAAAAATTCCTGTGTTTTACCTCAGGGCACGATACTTTACTCGTAAAGGTGCTTTTTTTGTTGTTCCACGGGTAAGTAATGGTAGGGCGCATTGTACAGCTGAATCCTTTATTCGCGTTTTATCGTGCAAGTTGGTTGAATTTCCGCGAACCCAAAGCTCCCCCGAAACCTGTGACTTTCAACGAGCACCGACGAGCTGACCAAACTTGGAGTAGTTTCGCTCACCTGTGCGCGTCACCGACACCTCATTAGAACTCCGTCATTTCACAACGAAGAGGGGCCTGCAAAGTCTCGCTACGCGCCCCCTCCTCTCCCCCAATGTTGCTGCTCATTAGACGTTGTATACGATATACATGTATATATAAGCGCACGGTAAACACGTGCAAGGAGGCATCGAGTGACGCCCCGACACGGTTAACTAGGTGATGCCGCTACCGAGAGGGATATCTATCAAAGCTCGTGTGCTCAACCTGTTACCCCCACCCCCCCGCTATATGTGTACACCGCCTGATGATGGGATTATACGAGGCGTGTGGGCGCATTGTGTATACGAGCAAAGCTAATCAACTCGTCTTTCCCCCCCCCCCCCTACGCTTTGTACCCTGAATGACGCGCCTCTCCCTGCAAGCTCTCGAATTGACACCTTGTTTTGTTTTCCACCGGGTAATTAATGTACTTTTGCTACCACCCGCGCGATAACCGTAGACTCTTTTACGAGTCAATTTGTCGTGTCAACCCGGGCTTTTTTTAATAATTCATGTACGGAACAATTGAATCCACCTCATCTGCATCGCCACCGTCGTAATTGCCAATCGATGGTTCAATTTACAGCTAAATTGGTAGTCCACGTGTATATCGATTGCGTTAATTTTACGACCCTCGTGAATGTAATCAGAATTAATATTCGCCCCCCAAGGGGTGACGGGGAATAAAAGGAGAATAGTTGTCTATTGAAACCTTTCATTCGTGTTCTAATTGCAAATCTGTTTCGTTATAGTTTTGATGTGATTATAATACCGCTTTGATGACCATGGGGGCGTGCGAGGGCAACAAAATAATTAAAACTGAGTCATCCGTGAAACCTCGATTTCAAACCCACGTGCGTATAGTTATTATACCCTTGCCGAAAATCCACGTGGCTGTTTCTGTTTGACGTCGAAGGTTGACCATTTCGTCGTCCGAAGGTGAAACTGATATCCAAAACACGTTAATGAATGCACACCCGATTTTTCGCTTTTCATTTGAGTAAAAAAAAAAAACGGGACAGAGCGGAATATTAAATTACGCAAGCCATGAACTTCGTATCTGTAACGAGGTCGTGAGTAATTGTATTAAAACACATATACTCCCGTCAAACGCGTTGAAAGCGTGTTTGCACCCGCGACGTACACAATTAGCGCGGGCGTTTGAGCAAAAAAATACGAGATGGAAAAAAATTGCCAGAGCCGAGGATTTGATAAATACCTTCCCCCTTACCCACCCCACAGCTCTGTTGAGAAAGTTCACCCAATCGCTCTCACGTACCGCTTTACACGTGTGCCATCATCATCATTGTTATTTCCCCCCTCCTTGAAAAATTGTTCACAGCTCGTTTCTTGCTCTCTCTCTCTCTCTCTCTCTCCTTCTGCGGTCATTTTTTCTTCTGCCAGTTACAGCTGGTTCTGCCATACCTCTTTTTGCTATTTTTTTTTTGTCTCTCGCTGCAGCGTTCTCGTCGAAAAAACTCGTGCGCTTTTCTCGCGCACCTATATACCACCTAGCTTCTACCCGTGCAGTTGCTTAATTTGTCAATTTCCAAGGTGGTTTTTCTCCGAAAATCGATTTTACGCAACGAATGTTTGGGGGAAAAAAGAAAACAAAAATATTCACGAGATAAATGTAGGTCACGGCAAAAAGCTTATAAGAGCTTTGGAAACGACGATTGTCGTTTAGTAAAATCAGAAAAAAAGGGGGGAGCCGCGAGAGGTGCCAATGTGGCGAGTAGAGCTTTTTATTGACAAAGTCGAGCCCAATTAAAATCACGACCAGCCGGGCAAATTAAATCACCGACGAGGGTGGGATGAGCGCAAACACGCTTTATGGAGGAGTAACGGGTTTTTTCTCCATGCAAATGCGCCGAGAGGGTCGTAAAAAATTTTCCAATCGCGAGAAACGGAAAACAAAGGCGCGGCTTGGTCGTACGTGTATGTGCACGGCAACGGTAAGCCACGAGGAAAGTTACATGCTTGAGGTTGCCGTTGGCGGTGTCGAGTCGCAGTAGATAAGGTCACTATGTGGTCAGACGCGCGTATTCCGTTGTGTCTTTTACGAGTGTTTTTTTTTCTAGCTCAATGCGCGTTGGTGAAAAGGTGTGGTATCATGATAACGCGCAACACATGATACATTATGTACCGTACATCACATTTTGTAATAAAATTAAAGTTGAGTTTATCGCTGCGCACGAGCTATTTACGATGGAAATAGTATAAACTTGAAATTCTCGGACTAATGCACATCCAAAAATAACGTAATGGTATGCTCGAGCACGTAAATCTGTTAATGATCAATTAAACGAGTCGAGCACGGGCAACTCGGATTTTGAAGGATAAAAGCATCATCGTTGGGTTGTTCAAAAAACAAAAGGTGCGCCAACCGGAACGCGATAACAACGACGAATCCAAGCAAATGGAAACAGTTGTTGCTGGTTATCGGGGGGAAAAAAAAGCAGTCAATAGAAGACAGCTGAGCGTCCGAATGAATGCGCAGGTCGAATGCAGTTGCCAAACAGATGTTTCCTCTGGTGTCGTTTTAGTTTTTTTTTTTTTAACACTTTTTTTTCCCCCTATCTTTAGCCCCAATTTATCTTAAAATACGATAAATGCCAGAGGTCGCACCGATGAAACTTCAAACACAGGGCACCACTTTTAATTTAATCAATCTACGGGATTCCTCGCACGAATCGAGCCATTCGCTCCCCCCCATCCGTTTCTCCGCTTTCGCATTCCGCATCCATACGTATTTGGATCTATCGACGCTGTGTGAAGGTATTTCCCAACTATTGGACCGTTCCTCGGCTCTCCATACACGTATATATTATATGGGTGGACCCGTGAAGGGCATACCTATGCATAATATAGTCACTGCATACACACAATACATGTATATATAATAAGACAGTAAACGCCGAGCGCGTCGTGACAAAGGAACAAAAGGACTCGGAATTAAAGAGGAGAGCCTACGTATACATCGATCGGAGGCAGGAGAACAAAAAGAAAAACCCCCCCGAAGCCGAATAATGAGACGTGATGGATGGAAAAAAGTACGTGTACCTATAATGTACCGACGTCACGAGTACGTATACGTCAATCGTTACCGAGAGCCATTACGGGGAATCCCCCTATTATATGCCCGATTGTACCCGGCCGTAGGTATATTGTATGTAATGCAGAAAATATTTCAACATGTGCAGCGAACGAGTGTGTGTAGGGCTTTAAAGACCGATAAGGCATAAGGCTCTCACTGAGCGACGACGAACATGACAAAGTGCCGGGGCATTTTGCGGATACAACGGGCGAGTGTGAAAGTAGGCCAGAGCGTCCCGAGCTCTTTCGAAAGCGTCTTTGTGCACCGCAACCTTTTTTCGAGAGACCAATATTCGATACTTCCAACGGCCTTTGTACTACATGAATCTTCAATCAACCGTATGATAAAACCCGCTTATGTATAGCCTTGCAAGTTGGGCCGTTACTAGCGCGTACGAGTTGTTACCTCGGCGCGTATAGGATCCTGTTGGCAACATTAGTTTCGGTTGTATAGGGCAACGCCTAACTCGTGCGAAATTCAAGACTATACGAAGCACACATATAGGCACATGTATACATGGACGCGGGAGTAAGTGCTCAACAACGGAGAGAAACAAAGTTTTAAGTGGATTAGGTTGCAGTACGTAACGACTCGCGTGCATCCTTCCAACTTTGCGCCGCGAGTTGCCCGTTAACCTCGTGTCCTTTGGAACGTATGTATCAACGTGAATCGAGGAGCCTTTGAACGCCCATCAGTCGTTTGAACGGATTACTCGAGATTTGGTCATCGGTACATGGTATGTAAGTACACCGGGAAAAGCCACCCTTGATTCTCCTTCTTTTCCCGACGCCTAATTGATCGGGGGGAAAAAAAAAACTTTTCCTGGAAAAATCCTTGCGCGACAGTATTTAGGCTCGTCTTTCCAGTGGGACAGAAGCTGGCTTTTCCTCATTATTGCTCAACCCGAGCCTCATCCGATGGCCCGGGCGTACATTCTCGGAACGGCACCTCGTTATCGACTCGACGAGGCCAATAGGGTGGAGCAAAGATACCACGTGTCAATCAATGAAAAAAAAAAAAAAATGCACCGATAGCACGGACGTGTGAGTCGATAACTAAATTTTTTATATTTGAAGCTCCCCGATGATGATCAACCAAAACACTCAAGTGGGGGATGTATATCCTCGATACGTCACAGCCGGTGGCGTGTAAATTAAGCTGCAGCATCGCGACGAAAGCGGCTACTTTCCAGCTATGCACGCGAGAGAGAGAGAGAGAGAGAAAGAAGGAGGAGGGCGCGCGCTCGCGACTCGAGCCGAGCCGAGCCGAGGGTGTTTGGGGAGGGCTGGCGCGCCACGCGGGAAGCCTCGGGGTTGTCAGTTAGAGCGGAAACGTCTCCACGGGCGCGCACACTTGATCGGCTGGTGTATCGATGCTCGCCCGCACCCTGTGTCGAGCCAAAGCCCCGCGTGTCACTCACAAGGACGGGATGTAAGGTTGACGGGGGCCTTTTTGTTTCCCTTCGCCGGTCGACACGCGGTTCGCGGGCTTTCGGCTATACTTGCGCGACAAAAAGCAATAATATACACGCGGACCACGTGAATTTCCCGACAGAGTCGGGGGAGGGACAAGGAGGTTGGTCGATGTATATTCGCTGATACTCGTACATCCAGCTTCGGGTGAGTACCTGATACAAACTTTATATACGTATAGCCGTAGGATACACTAGAGTTTGATTTCAACTTGTACTTTTAACATATATATATATATATATATATGTATGTATATAGAGTTATTTATTTCGCACGAGTGCTGCGTGACACATAATGTAGCGGTGAACACGTGCGTTTCCCGCGCCCTGTATCGATTACTCCGTAAAGTAAATACTGATCAGTGTTTTGTTGCGATTGTCGTCATTTTCATCCACGTGTACCCATCTATTTTGGTAGGTGATAGATGCTTGTGTTATTGATGATTATTTATTTAACAGAGTTGCCAGTAAGCGCCCCAGGTCATTGGGTGATAGGCGCTTGTGTTATTAATAATTATTTATTTAACAGAGGCGCTTACTGGCAACTCTGTTAAATAAATAATTATTAATAACACAAATGGGTTTATCGTCTGTTTACGTTTTATGTACAGCGAAAGCTTTTATGTTAATGTTTGTTTTGTCGAAAAATTGACAGCGAAGGAGAATTAGGACGATGTTAATGGTTCGTTTTTTTTTTCCTCGTTGGTAAAGTACGGGTGTACACTATTTATCAACGAAAGAATGTGTTACATTGGGGTTTTGATGGATCTTGGATGAGTTTAGGAGGACAGGTGGTGTTTTTTTTTTTTTTTTTTCATCCACTCATGTCGTTTAACTTTCGGAGCAGTGTGGAATTTTTGTGTACACGTGGACACCTGCTAATTTGTTATTTTTCGATAACCTTCGTTGTTATTATTTTTCCTTGCTTTTGTCAAAACCCTCCCGCGGTGAGTCAAGCGTCACCTTGGTAAATATTTATCGTGTCCCACCTTGATTGTGACTTTTTCCATGTATTTTTAAGAAATAATATCCCAAAATTTCTTAGACCATAGTGGAACAAAAAAAAAGTAGTTTACGTCATCTCTGGGCCTGATTGGCCCTATACGTTGTCCCTGTCAAAGAAACGTCAAAAGGTTACAAAAAACGTCTAAAGTAGGAATAAATGGTATTTTTATAAGCAAACAGACAGATCTAGGGAGTATATTGATACAATACAGAAAACATGATGTCGTGGAAGAAATACATCAGTTCTATGCATGTATGCTTTAGAAAATAAACTTTCAACGAAACGCGGAATTTCCTGATACGCATAAACTGCGATGTATTACGTGCACCGAAAAAAGTCCAACTTTTCTATTTACCTGCCATTGGAGTTTGTATATTTTCCATCGTCAAAATCAATATCTAGAACTTACAGCTTTGGGAGGAAAAAAAAAAAAAAAAAAAAACAGGCATAAGCTTACATACAAAGGGTTGGCGTCGCGCATACAGTAATTCAATACGAAAGGCAGAGCACGACCGCTTTCGAAAAAAAGAAAAAATAAATGGTCGCAGTATATTAGCTCGGACGCGCTGCAAGCATTATCCTCCCCCCGAAATTCTTATCTATCGCGGAGTAATGTGAGTCGCGCGCACGATTGATGGTCTTGAGTTACCATTTTTTTTCCCTCCCCGTGTTCCCTTACGTATATACAGCGTGTAAGCGGACTCGTAAAAATTACCCCGAGCTCTTTACTCCCTCGATCGGAGCGCGTGTATGGGAGTAAAGGGCGATTTACGGGTTGGGCATTAATACCGTACTCCGTGTTTTTCTCTTCTTCTCCTTCGGAGAAATGTATATCCGGCTCATCTACCGTCGTCTACTTTTTTCCCGTTAGAGGAGTATTTTCGTGGTTCCCTCGAGAAAATGTTTTTTCTTTTTTTTTTTTCCCCTTAGCGCAATAGATCCGGGGTAATAAACGGAGAGCAGGGGCGAAAAAAATTTCCGTGTCTTTTGAGGCGCGTAGGCGAAAGAGATGCTTCGGGCTCGTTTTTGGGATAAGCGAAAAAAGATGATACTCTTCTCCGAGGCTCGTTGTTGGATAACAATGACGTTGATACAGAAAAAATGAATAAAAATGAATAAAAAAGGAAAAAGTACGAGGGAAACGCGGGATTTGCGGAACCGAGAGTCGACACAAAAGAGAGGCAGGAGGATATGATACCCATCGAATTCAAATAACATGGAACAAAGAAGAATAGAGGTGGAACTGAAATGCAAGATATTCGAGACACACGCACGATAGGAATCTGCGTACGTAGGTACAACCCACCCCCGATCGAGTCGTGGGAGAGTCCTTGCCCGGAGCTGCAGTTCGGCTATCAAAAAGAGGGAGTGGAAAATTCAGGGTATCCGATGGGAGAAAAAGGGACACTGACGCCCCCCCCCCCTCCTCACAGTGCCCCGTAACAAAGATTTAATCAAAGTTTTGTCACTGCTATCGGATGCCAAAATTCTCAATTTCTCCAATTTTCGGTGGAACTCGGTTATTTTCATTGCTCCATCTTTTTTTTTCTTCTCCTCTCTTTTATTTTTGTTCATCCGTACATACGTACACAAAAAAAAGGGAAGCCTTTGTGCGGCAACGACAATGGACACGCGTTATTCGTCCCCTTTTTACGCTCTCGGCAGAGTTGTACCCACGTCACGGCTGTACGGGACGAATCTTCCTTTTCTTCTCTTCTTTTTGTTGTTGTTGTTGTTGTTGTTGTTGTTGTTGTTGTTGTTTTTTTGAAAACCCCTGAAAAAAGAGCTTGTGTGTCGTTTTGCTGAAATTGTTTTTTTTTTTTTTTCTTCCAAGAGGCCGGTTGCGCAAGTCACGAGCTCTTTGGCTACCAAAACAGTCGCCGTATCGACAGTATGTAGGAAGGAAAAACTACATCGAGGGCACCGCTATTATTTCACCGAGTGTAATCGTCGTTAACAATTTCATAGGTGAGCAGTCGCCAAAGTGTTCCCCTCGCCTATATGCCCTTTAAAGACTTTGGTATGTACGAGGAAAGTTTCGCTCGGCCTTGATCTACATGGGCACACAATGAGGGAGCCAAGGAGGCCGATCCCAACTCTTCTCGCGCTTAAACGATACACCTTGCACCTTTTAAAAACAACGCGATGCAAGGGCATGTATAGTATAGCTATACCTTGATCATCAGACGGAAGAAAGTTTTTGTTTTTCAACGGCACACCGAGGAAGGGTGCAGATTCAAAAGCGGCAAAACTTGTGCTGTTCCGCGCTTGCTTTCTCATGGGTAAAGTCGTATGAAAAGTAACGATCCTTGCGTTGGCGTGCTTCTTCCGCGTACCCCTGTGTAAACGCATCATGTATTCATACGCGAGTAGGTAAGAGCGTGAAATTTACGATTAGCGGGAGTTTAGCAGTAGACGCGGGATATCTGCTTTTCGAGCATCGTTTCGTGAATAAATTACGAGGGGCTAAGTAGATGGTCGGAGCAGTAAAAGCAAGAGGGAACAACGTCAGCGAGGGAAATTCGCGTAAATCTCGCTAAAGCCGCGTTGTTTTGCCAAATACAGGGCTTCTACACCCAACTTATCTTTGTTTGCTACAGTTGAATCAATCACGCGTACCCGGATTAATTGTTATTATTCGAGATGGGGGACGAAAGAAAAATACGCGTTACTTTGTAGTTATTTGCTCGGAAACGTTATTATGATCGCATTGGACTATTTTGTGATGGCTGTTAATCACAAACTTGTACACAACATGATGTATCCTCGCGTGCACTGGACACGGTCCACCGCTACGTCCCCCCCTATTACCAAACTCGGCTAACATTGTCCCTCTGCACGCACACATAGGTACACACACATACATATATATATATGCAACTCCATCGTCGAGTGGAGCATAATTTATCTTGTCCGCGATGGAGACGGTGGCGATGACAACGACTTTGCTCGCACGTACACACAGGGAATTCGAATGGGCGAATGTGGGACAAGGCGAGCAGTGCTTACACCGCTGTTATGCACCTGAAGCTTCGTGATGGGCTCGTTTCCTCTTTGCTGGATTAAAACGATATTGTAACGCGCGCTGGTATGGGTGTTGTGGGATTTCGTCGGGATGGGCTTACCCAGGCGAAGGAAGGTCGCGAAAATTTTGCACGGGGATCATCTCGACGACGATAATCAGCGATAATTTCATTCCCGCAGCTACGGCAATACATAGTAACTTTGTATAGGACTTTTCGCACGTGTACCGTGCGAAATGCACGTCTAGTCAGCGTTTTTCTTGAAAATCGACAATATACATGTATTTGCCTGCTAAGCCCCTCGGAGGCTGAGAAAACGTTTTTTGAAGCAGCTGCTGTTGGTACAAGCTTTTGCCCGTAAACTCCTTGATTTTTTTTTCCTCTTTCTTAGATGACTTGGCTCTGATGATCCCCGTTTTAGATTGATGCGATGATTTCGTACGGGTGAGTGTCTTTTTTTTCCTCAACTTCGTAAAACCAAAGTAATGTTTTTCTGAGTATAATTTGTCACTAATGACTAATGCACGAAAGATCAAAACTCCGGAATATTCGTGTACAGATGATTATAGATAGGGTATATTTTTGTACAACTTTTGGAAAACTTTAACCATTGCCGTAGGCTATAGTCACTTACTCTCAATCGTACACGGGAGAACATGATTGTAGTGGTAAGCGGAAGACATTTCAATCGTGCTCGATTCAAAATTTTCACTTTTCTTACTAAAGACACCCATCCATTTCGTGATCATACCCATAGAACACGTAACTTTGGCCAAATTAAAAATAAAGGGAGCATCGTTGATTTCCCTACGCGCGCACAAGCAGCGATCGGCCACCGTCGATTAGACTTGGCTCAGAGAGCTAGAGGAAGGCCAACTCAGCTGTACACACACGCCAAAGTTCATTTTTCTTCCTGGGAAGCAGGAGACATGCTGCTTCATCTTTCAACGTTTCCTTTCTTAATCGCGTCCGCCCGCACGACGTCGACGCGACCCTCACCTTTCACGCGGAAAACAATGGATCCCTCTCATGCTCGGTGTGACCTCACCCCCACCTCACCGCATTCCCATCGTTTACTATTCACTACTAGCCCGACAACGTTGGGTTATTAGTTTTAGT